CTGTGTTCTTCCCACATGTGAGAAAGAACAGAAATCCATAAGGAGGAGCCCCAAAAGAGGTGATGGAAGGCCTGGAGTCTCGATCCAGCTGCCACTTACAAACCACGTGACTGCGTGTGAGTCATGGGTCTCCGTTTCCTCAGCTATAAAATGAAGATAATGATATCTTTCCTGCCTGCTTCACTGACTTACTGTGCTGGGCGAAGGGGACTACTGCACTGAGCGCCCACTTCATGCCAGCCACCTGACATCCATGAGCTCGTTTCTTCCCTTTCTGTGACATCCAGATGGGATAAGATGTGAAAGGCATGTGTATAAATGGCAGAGTCCTCTGCAAACGTGAGCACTTAACGTGAGCACTTAATATTCATCACCCTGGACCCATTCTTTCTTTTCCTGAGTCAGTCCCCTTAAGAAAGAGAAGTGCATCTGATGTTGAAATCTCTGCTCTGCCCTTAAGCAAGAGTCCTTCTTAACCCTTTACTGCCTGCTCCCCAGTTTCCTCTGCAAGTAAAACATCTCACTTGGGACGTTCACTTCACAGGCCTGTGCTGAGCCACTTCGGGCACATCTGTTGCTCTGCTGAGAGAGGGAGTGGAAAATTTTCCATGGCTGTGCCCCTTCCCATGAGGGGTCAGAGTGCCCGAATCACCAGTAGTTACAGTGCCTCCTGCCACAACTGGCCTGTTCACTTGGGCATGTCCAGTCTTGAATTGTTTTTTATGCATGTCTGTTGGGAGCAGGAGGTGGTGTCGGGCACAGATACTTTTGAGTTTAGACCAGTGTGGAGCCACTGGGTACTTCCGCTGGCTGGATGGCTCAGTGGGGCTTGGTGAGGCTGTGTTCTCTTCCAACATCTCCCCCTGCCTCTGAGCTGAGTCTGCAGGATCCAGCCCAGCGTGTGGTGTCTGGGACCCTGGCACCCCTGCCTCCATCTCCTTCCCAGTCTGACTGAGCCCTGCATGCTCGTGTCAGACACCAAGTGTGGACGAGAGCTCTCAGAGCCCAGGGAGTTGCTAGCACAGACTCATGGGAGCCTCTGTCTGTGTCTCTGATAGACATCCTATGACAGATGGCTTGCAGCTTGAAGCCACCAGAAGAGGTGCTGTGCCCTCCTGTCACCAAAATGTAGGGCTGGGAGCTGAAGGCACATGTGGGATGCGTTGGACACCAGCGTTTGGCCAGAGCAGCAGAGTTTGGAGGCAGTATCCTAAGGGAAGAGGAATGTGGAAATGTGAGAGGTAGGGAGAGAGAGTGGGGAGGAAAAGATCTGGAGCTGTTTGGAGAGGGACAGAAATAGAAAAGCTGAGAGGACCATGACTTTGGCCAAATCTCCCAAAGCCAGAAGTTGTCCTTCTCCGGCCCTGCTTTCCTCCCTCATTTTCCCCTCCTGGGCTTCTGGGCCCAACTTCTCTAGGAAAAACAGCTCTCACACCAGGGTTCTTGCAGAGCTCTGGAGCAGACAGGCAGGAGAACTTACTTCCTTTCTACCTCCCCCCACCCGCCGCCCATTCCCAGCTTCTTTCCCAGGTAGACAGAGGGCAGCCCAGCCAGCTGCCAGGCAGGGCTCATCTGATGAACAAGAGGAAAGAGGCCCCTTGTTTGGTGAGGTTCTGGGTACTCTGGCTCCCACTGAGTATCCTGCAAGTGTCTCTTGATGTGGCTCCCATGCTTCCTGGGCTGCTTAAAGGGCCGCAGTCCGTATGATGCGAGTCTGCTGAGCCCCACACCAGCTGCCTGCCTGGCCGGGCAGTGTGGGGGGTACTGCAGCCAGCGTCGGGATCTGTGCTGTTGTTCACGCCCCCTCCTGAGCATCTGAGACCAGGAAGGTACCACCTGAGATCCTAGAGGCTTCAGAGTCAGTTCCAGCTCTGCCCTGGGCTGTGCCCTTTTTCTGGCCCCGATTTCCACATCTCTGCTGAGAGGAGTTGTACCATGTGATGATTCATGAACATGAACCCAGAGGGGGAAGGCCCTTCCTTCAACACTTCGGGGCCAGGTTGTCATCTGTTCCCCGAGCCTGCTTTACTGTATGAGCTTCTTGGCTCTGTTTGGGTTTGACGGGCTGTCCTAAAACATTGGACTTCTGGGATCGCTGTCCCTGTGCTGAGCTGCACCTTGAGTTAGGAGGCAGGCTGGCTGTGGAGCCCTGCTCTTTCTAGAAGTTTCTCCCTGTCCAGCTAGAAAGTCACAGTAGCTTTGCTTGGGCCTGATCCCCGCACAGTAGAGGGGACTGGCCTTCCCACTCCCCAAGGGGTGGGAACGGTGGTAGGCTCCACTTAGCTTCTTGAAGCCTCAATTTCTACAACTGGAAAATGGGGATTAAGAATGTCCCCCTGACAGGGTCATTTTGAAGGTAAAATGACGTATTGGATACGAAAGCACTTGATATACTGTAAACCCTGATATAAAGTATTCTTGCGCCCAGCATTCGTTGAATTCCTCCTTTGTTCCAGGCAACTGGGTAGTTCCGAAGGTCTCCTTGACATGTTTCCTTCCCCTGGGAAACTCATGAGTTATCAGAGGAGAGAGGCATGTCAGTACACAGATGATCGTAAGGAGGGTGAAGAGTGTGGTAGGGAAAACACGTGCAGATGCCAGAGCAGCGTCCTGACTGTCTCTTCTCTGCTCCTGCTCACCCATCCCCTCCCCAGCACACAGCTTGATCTTTCCGAGACACATCTCACTGTTGAATACTTGGTAGAGTCACATTTAGAGTCTAAATTTGTCCACCTGTCTTACCAGGCCCCACTCGGCTTAGCTCCTGACAGTCTTTCCAGTTGCTTCATTCTTGCACTGTGTGCTTCATCATCGCACAGACCACCCTCCCTCCCTCGTCTTTGGCCTTTGCTCTTGCTTGTGCCTTGATGCGGTCTTGCACTCAGTAGCCGCCCCTACCACCCCGCCCCCACCCCCGCCCCGGGCACTTCTGTGGCTCATGCACGCGCGACTGCCTCTTCCGACCAGCACCTGGTCGCCATGACTTGCAGCAAGAGCTGCCGATGGGCGCTGCCAGCCTTGGCGGTAGAACAGAGCACGTCTCCTGGGGCTGTGTCCTGGCCATTTCTCTTCCAGCTCTCAGCGGTTTCTGATTGCCCTTCTCTTCATTGTGGAGGGGAAAGGAAAAGGTGGTTGTGATAGAAGCGATGCGGGTGGGGGCAGGGCCCGCAGAGGACGCTGGGGGACTCCTGCCTTGTCTGGGAGACAGGCGACAGGCGGGGCCAGGAGCCGCAGGAGGCAGGAGTCCAGAGCCAGAAGGCTGCCGGAGAGCAATATATGCAGAAATTACTCTGTGTCCTTGAGTTGAATGTTTCCAGCCACCCCGAAATGTAAGCATGAGTTCCCATTCTCAGAAGCCAATCAGCATCAGAGGCCTTTTCAGCAGCCTCATTGAGTCATGAATCAGTCTCTTGCTATGTGTGAGGCTCCTTGTGAGGCCCTGGGAGGTCAAGGTGAATGGAGCAGACGCTGTCCCCATGACAGGTGTAGCAGGCAGTGAGCCAGGCTGGACTGTGTGGAGAGATAAGTGCTGAGGGAGTCGTTATCTGTACCCTGAGGGTCTCAGACGTCTGCTGGAGGAGGTGACATTTGATTTGAACCTTGAAGGGGAGGTGAACTGCGAAGAGAAGGAAGGGTGGTTTGACAGGAGAGCCCAGGCACCTCCCAGGAATGGTAGGAGTGGTTTGGCTGGAGTTCAGAGAGCCCAGAACTGCACCTGCAGAGCGTAGGGGCCTTGGACATGGGAGGCATTGCAAGGTTTTGAGCAGGGGAGTGAAGTGATCAGGGTCCCAGGTTAAGAAACCGAAATATCCTGAACAAGCCCCCTGCCTCCTGCCTGCCCCCTGCAAAAGGCAAAACGTGGTCATGGTGTAGAAGATAGGTTAAAAAGGGAGAGAAATTGAAGACTAAAAACCATTGCAGTGAATGGGTCAGGAGTCAGGAATCTAGGCACATGGTTATCAGGGCTTCCTAAAGCAGGGCATGGCAGAAAGAATGAGCCAGGACACAGAGAGACTTCTGGTGAACTCCATGAGGACAAGAGTCTAACCCAGAGCCAGACATGGAGTAGGCACCCAGTTAATACTTTTCGGGAGAGTCATTGGGAAGGTACTATGAAGAAAGAAAACAAATGACGACAAGGACGCCTGAGGTTGGGAGCCTGGGATCCTTGAGGAGAGTGGGTAGCCCAGGAAGAGGGGCAAGTTGGCCGAGTCCTGGTTGAGTCAGAGGTGGTCTGATCTGGAAGAGTGGGCACACAGGCATGGGAACTTGGGCTGTTCCAGACCTTTTGGGGGTAGTGAGGTTAAGGCCTCTATGCCCTGGGCCTAGAGTGCCATGTTCTGAAGGGCTCCAGCCCTTTGCTCACCATTTCCATTCACCTAGAAGTCATGCCCAAGGAAACCCACCAGCACCACTGCCTCACGATCCTAGTAACAGCTGATGTTTATTGAGCACTTTCTGTGTTCTAAGTGCTTGTCTGTCTCCTTTGATCTTCTAACATTCCGCGAAGTAGGTTCTGTTTATCATCTCAGTTCTTCAGTTGAGGAAACTGAAATTCACACAGCTGTTAAGTGGTGGATCTGGGATTTGGTCCCCAGGTGATGGCTTGGGAGCCCTTGTTCTGCGGCACTGCCATCCATGTGAGGATGAGCCAGAGGGAAGGAGTCACGTGGAGGCTTAAGGTGCCTCTGGCATGTACTTGGGGATCAAAGGACAGTTTCCATGTAATAGTCGAGGGTTGGTAGGGACCTTGGAGGTGTCTCATTCATTTTACAGGAGAGGAACCAGGGCTCAGAGCATTTGCAAACCTGCTCTGAGCAGCATGGTTGATGGCAGCTCATTGATGGACCAGCATGGGTGCTCCAGAGCCATGGAGCTGTATTGTCTTAGATAGATGGGTACCTTACCCTGCCCGCCCTGTCCTCCTCCAGCCAGACTGGAGCTGAAATGACCTTCCTTAGCCTTGGCCTCACTTTCTTTTCTTCTCATCCTTCCTCCAGATTGACAAGTATCTCTATGCCATGCGGCTCTCTGATGAAACTCTGTTAGATATCATGAATCGTTTCAAAAAGGAGATGAAGAATGGCCTCTCCCGGGATTTTAATCCGACAGCCACAGTCAAGATGTTGCCAACGTTTGTAAGGTCCATTCCCGATGGCTCAGGTGAGTCTCTCACCCAGAGATTGGGCTCTCAGGGCTGAAGGCTCTGTGAAACCATCCTTCCAACTTTCATTCATTTGTTCATTTATTGATTTACTTGCTCACTCATCCAGTTATTCATCCATTCACCATTCCATCCATCTGTTCTTCCATCCGCCATTCACCTATCCATCCATCCATCCAATTTATGTCCGTTGAGATTCTGTCGTGTGATAGGGGACACCATGTTTGGATGAGGCTGACTTCCCCTGATCTTCCTGACTTGTCTAGTGACTTGCGGAAAGAAAGCAGAGTGTTCATGGATCTTCCAGATGCTGTGTGAATTACTCTTACATCTCGAGGACATGGAAGGTTCCAGAACAAGCCAAGAGTTCATGTTAGGAGAATCTCTCCATCAGGGCACCAGGGCCTCCCTGTACTGTCCCAGATAAGCAGCAATCCTAGTGGCCAAGTGAGTCTCAGACCCAGGGGGGAGATTCAGGTCCCCATTTGAACAAATTTCATAGATGCTAAGTCAGGGTAGCCCCTCAAGCAGCGGAATGGTGAGGGGACTAGGGTTGGAAAAGGGAAATTATCCTCTTGGTCTGCATCTGGTGGCTCATGTCCCGCAGTGGGCATTTGGGGGCTTCCTGAGGGTTGTCATTGCCCCCGCCCTAGGGGAGTGGCCTCAGTCCCTCCACTTGGCAGAGTGGAAGCTGAGAGGGTGTAGCCTGGCCTTGGCCTGCTCAGTGGACGTCATTCTGTCTGGCTGACCCAATGGTGGGTGTTGTGCCTACCCCAGCTTAGCACATGCCTAGGAATCCCGCCTTGAGCTGGGTTCTGTACTCTAGGCTGGGGATCACCTGCTGTGTGCAGGGGAGGGAGAGAGATTATGAAAGTCAAGTTTCTCTTGGGGTTTTGAGTACACACTCCGAGAGTATGGCCCTTACACTTTCCTGCTATTTCTTCCCTGCTCTGGGGACTCATTTAAAGCTGTGATTTGAGGCATCTGACATGCAGCCTTCAAACTGGACATCAGGAAAACTGTAGCTGTTTCAGCTGATGTTTGTGAAAGATGGGCAGGTGCACTGCATGTTGGAGCAACTGGCTGCAGTGGGAAGGTCGTCTTGTGCCAGCAGCCGGCCTTTAAAGTCCTGAACGAGATTGGGGCACCATGGAAGGGTGGGTGCTTTGTGTGCCCTGTGGGCACAGGTGGGGTTTGCTTCACACACACACACTGGTCCTTGTATCTCTCATGTTTCTTAACTTTTTAAAATCTACTCCACTTTTATCCTTTTGTTTTCCTTGAGGTCTTGCTTACCAGCAGTTTCGGCTCTTTTATGACTACCAAAGAGATTCTGGCCATCGGAGTGAGCAGACCACAGTGTCCCCTGGATTTTTTTCTGATGTCTCTGGCTTTGTAGTTTGCTCCTACTTTTCCCAACCCCAAATGGCACCCATGTCCAGAAGTATTTGTGTCTTTACCGGGTGAGTTGAATTCTGTAAGAGAGATGTGGCTGTACATGCTGTCAGCTGAGAGAGGGGGGAAAAGGAGGTAAGATAGCGGGGCAGCCCCCCAGGGCCTCTGCTCTGGCTTTGCTTAGATAACTCAGAAGGATGCCTGATGCTTGGGGGACCCCTGATCCTGTGTGACTGGTCCCTGGCTGGCATGTCCAATGAGAGGCTCCTTCCCTCTCCTCCTAAATGCTGCCTGCAAGCCAGCTTCCCTTCCATGGACCATGTGTCAGCAGGGGTGCCCTGCCTCATACATTCACACACCATTTTTAGGGCTGAGGGACTCAAAGTGTGATCCAGACACACTAGTAATCTAGCCATTTGAAAACAGGGCTCCAAACGCATTCTTATTTGGGAAAAACAACATTTCCAAAGATCCCTCTTAGAGATTCAAAGCAGGGACTTCGTAGTCCCGAGGTTAGGACCCTGTGCGTCCAGTGCAGGGGGCCTGGATTTGACCCCTGGTCAGAACTGAGATCCCATATGTTACGTGGCATGGAGAAATCAAAACGAAAACGAAAGAAGAGATCGGAAGGAGATACCAGGGTGCTAAAGGCCCTGAGCAGTCCTGCAGGAGGGAAACCTGTTAAACCCGGCTACCTGCCTTTTCCCCAAACCTGTTTGTGCTTTCCCCAATATTTACTACTCTATTTCATCTATTTTGAGACCCTATTTTTGTCTTTGTTTTTGAGTCCTCTGAAATTAGCAGTGCATTGTGCAGCAGTTGCCTCTTTAAATTACTGTGAGCAGCACTTTTTTCTCTCTTCGCATTACATAAAATAATGGTATGTCCACAATCAGTGGTGTCTCAAATGTGATGATGTAGGTGGTGATTACGCCCATGTTGGGAAATGCTGTCCCAGAGTTTGTGGAGCTGGAGCCAGCAGCCTGGGCTCCACGCCTCCTTCTGAGCCTCTCTTCGTGTCCAGGGTGAAGTGAAGTGAATGGACTAAATGTTCGGGCCTCTCGGGAGCGCAGAGCAGTGCTGAGAGCAGGAGGAGGAGGAAGGGGAGACGCCGAAGCCCGGAACCCCAGGGACCCACCCTGAGGCCCTGGGCCCCCTGGCCTGCACTGCTCGCCCTTCCCCAGCTCCGCCTCCCTCTGCCTTTCTGGTGACTACTTCTTCTGCTCTGTGTTACTTTCCAAGGCAGCCGTAATGACCTACCGTGAACCGGGTGGCTTTAAATGAGAGTGATTGTCTCACAGTTCTGGAAGCTTGAGGTCCAAAATCAAGGTGTCGGTGGGGCCGTGCTCCTTCTGAGACACTGGATTAAGTCTTTCCTTGCCCCTTCCTGGCTTCTGGTGGTGGCTGTCAGTCCATGACCTTCCTTGGTGTGTAGCTGCATCTCTCCATTCTCAGCCTCTGTCGTCATGCGGCATTTTCCTCTAATAAGGATACCGGTCAGATTAGAACCCACACTCATGACCTCCTCTTCATCTGATTACATCATCTAAAAAGATGCTTTTCCAAATAAGGCCACATTTACAGGTGCCCAGGGTTAGGACTTCTACAGAAATACCTTTTTTGGGGGGGGGGAGGGGATGGATACCGTGCAACCGTAATATACTGTATAGCTCTTCTCTCTATGACTGTGCCTAATATTCATGGGTGGGCTCAAGTCAGGTGTCCAGGGGCCCACACTCCTCCTGGAATGGTCCCTCCAGCCCCACATAGACACTGACACTGATGCCAAGGCCTTGGCTACCTGACACCAGTCCAGTCCCTGCCACTTTCTGATGGAAGTGCCTCCAACCTTGAGGTCCCTTGGAGGACCCAGAATGTAGGTCTCCTTCATAGTAAACCATGGTGCCAGTCTCTTTTCGAGATGTTAATTACTGCTTCACCTGTATAATTAGTCAGTGACAGAATTAGTGGTAATCCCAAACCACCAAAGGATAAATTGGAATCACTGCAGTGGAGAGGTGGCCCTGCCCTTCAAGCAGTGATGTGACTTCCAAGTCAGAGGGAGAAACAAACCTTTCCTTTCCTGCTGACCTTGACCCTGATGACTGGATTACTGAAAATTGTTGATTTTTGAAACTCTATTGATTTTTTTGAAAATGTTATCAGCCCATTTTTGTTAATTTCCCCCCTTTTGACAATTTTAACGGGCAGTGCTTTTTCTTTAATTGCTCTCAAGTAATCTGTGCATTAGATTAAAAAAAGACACAAAACCCTAAAGTGGCTTTTAGCTGCTGCATATCCTTTTTGCAGTGGGAAAGATATGAATAATACATAAAGGAGGAAGATACTGAAGCTTTTTTATGCTGGTGACTTGGCTAAACAGAAACCCTTGTTCAAAGGTGCCCAGTTTCTGGGGATAGCTGCCCACCTGTATACAGCTTCTGTCAGAAGGCCTACCCGACTTTGGTTCTCACTTGGGAAACCTCCCCTTTTTTTCTCATCTTGTCATTTATCACTCAGGATATTGTAAGTATCAATTAGATTGTAAGCTCCTTGCGGGTAAATTGAGTTGAAGAGTTCCTTGTTTCTGCTTTTTGGTTCCTTAGAGTGCTCTCACCCAAAGGATGAGTTTAGAATGTTTGATTTGTGGTGTGGTCTTGGCTTTCCCTGGTGACTCAGGTGGTAAAGAATCTGCCTGCAGTACGGGAGACCCGGGTTTGATCCCTGGGTCGGGAAGAAGCCTTGGAGAAGGGAATGGTAACCCACTCCAGTATTCTTGCCTGGGAAGTCTCATGGATAGAGGAGCCTGGCAGGCTACAAGTCCATGGGGTCGCAAAGTCAGACACGACTGGACGACTAACACACTGCTTCCTGGACTTCCCAGGTGGCCCTAGCAGTAAAGAACACACCTGCCGATGCAGGAGATGTAAGATCCCTGGGTCAGGAAGATCCCCTGGAGGAAGGGCATGGCAACCTACTCCAGCATTCTTGCCTGGAGAATCCTCATGGACAGAGGAGTCTGGCGGGCTATAGTCCATAGGGTTGCAAAGAGTCAGACATGACTGGAGTGACTTAGCACACTCACAGTTAAATTGGTGGGGCTTAAGATATACTGCTTTCCAGCCAAAGGAAGGAAAACATTTCCTTTTCTCCCTGCATTTGGGCTGTTGATTTACCTTTCTCTGTCCTTATGTGGGAAGATGGTTGGATTATCTCAGAAATGCTCCCATTTGATGAAATCTCCTAAAAGCCTAGCGTTCCAGTTGGGTTTCTGATGAAGGTGTAAACTCTCATTGACTAGCAGGATGGCAGACGGGAGGCTTTGTGTCTCGTGTACAGGATTAATTCACGGAGCAGGCAAAGGGAGGCATTTCATGAACGCTGAGTTTTTGTTTGCCCTGTATTCCAGCACAGGTCTGGACTCAAGAGAGACATCTGTTTCAGTGTTTGTTTTCCATTATTTGCTGGTAATAATGGCTGTCATTAGAAAGTGGAGAGTTGCCAGGGGCCCTTCAGTTGCTTTGTTTAATGAGCCTTCTATAGAAGAGCAGTTCTTCTTGGCTTCAGTGGAAATGGGAAATGTAGGATGAAGTCTCGGCAGCGG